TTTGCGTGAACATTTTTCTGAACTAGGGTAATCTCGCTTCTTTTCAGAATTTCACTCATGACAAGGTTTTAGTTCTGACTCCTTGAAATATGAGGTTTAGAAGTAATTGATCTTTTCTTTCACTATTTTTGACACTTCACTGCTGGCAGACTCTTTGATCAAGTGGCTCATTGCCAGTTGTTAACTAGATTAATGTTCATGATTTCATCTTGCATTCAATTCAATGGCTTAATTTACAAAGTGATATTATTGGATTATCCAAAGAGGAACTACAAAAGAGTGCCTTGGCTGTACAAATATATCACCTTTGTCAAAACATAAACATAGCTATTGATTATCAAAGCCTGCTGTTGTTACATTAGTCACCGGAACCTGGCCAACAATCTCCCAAATAAAATTGGTTGTTCATTTCATACCTGATTGTGGGACATTGCTCTGTGCAAAATTAGTTGCTGCATTACCATACAAATAGAGTTACTTTACATAATATCCTGTGAAGTGCTTTGAGACATCCTCCCGACATGCAAGGTGCTGTATCAATATATACTGTATTTCTTTTACGCAAATTAAGAAATCTATATGAAGGGCCAGGTAGCTGAAAGCAGTAAGAGAGAAAAGTGAGTTAAATCAGGAAGAAAAGGTTGGTTGGCTCCAAGCTTGAGTTTGTAAAACCAGATAACTGTAAAAAAAACTCAAGTGAAGAATCGGAAAGGAAGGTTAAAATAAATTAAACTTTTGAAAATTATTTGCTGTTTTTGTATTCTGAAAGGAAAATTTGTCCCTTTAAAGTTTCCAATGGAACAGTATTGTTCACAAATAATTGATGTCCTTGTAACTAAATTAAACAACACAACTACATTTAGCTTCAGGGGATTAAGGTGATTTCAGGCTTTCTTTATGTGTAGATACCTGCTGCTGGCAATTATCAGCGCTGTAACTTCTTGTCATTAAAGCAAGCACAGTAAATTCTGAAATTTGTGAGCGTTTCGCCTACAAAACACACAGTCAATTCACTTTACAGTATATTCTGTGAAGCGCTTTGAAACATCTCGAAGACCTGATAAGGCACTGTATCAAATGCAACGATTATTGTTATCGTATTATAAATTGTTTTGCTTTCTCCATGCAAACATTAAACTTTATTTTTCAACTGAGTCGCGTGCGTTGAGGTAACTGCTCTGCATGTAGTATTAAACAATCTTCGACAATCAAATTGCTGTAATTCTCTGAGTTTCCTGCAGTTCATTTACAGTGTCCATGTTCTGTCGAACATTCTGTCACTAGAAGAGCCAAATCATTGCCATCCAGGGCAGCGGTACTTACCACTGCGATACCAAATATAGCCGGGTGAATATTTACAGTCATCTGATATTAATTGGAAATGTAATTAGCAAACCTATAAAAGTATTTAATTACTGTATTTTCTTGTTCTGGTAGCTGGAACCACGATTAAGGCAGAATCCATATCAGCTTTAAAGTGGTAATTAGATAAAATCTGAAAAGGATATAAAAGTGTGTGGTGGGGAGTAAGCAGATGAATGAGACTAAATAGCTCTTTCAGAGGATGTTGGTCCGAATGGCCTCCTCACTGTATATTTCTGTGGATTCCTCAGTCTAATTATTACTGCACATGGTTTGCAGTCTTTTGAACTGATGTACGAAAACGTTACATCTATTTCGCACGGGAGGCTACTTAATGAAATATATTTAAGACGGAGAAGAATTTCAATAAAATAAAAAAAATGGTTTATCTTAGATTACAACTGGTGTCTCTCGATTATTTACATAATAGGTTCAACAATAAATTAACAGCCTTCCCCTTTTGGCTCACCTATGGGCCAGATTCATGTGAAATAAATGCATTGGTGTGTTTTCCACACGATAGTGGGGGGAGGCAAGGCATCAAGCCATGGATGCTATGCTATTTTTAAACACGTGCAATACTATCTACTTGTGCAGTGGATATTATCAAAGTGGCTCAATTTATGATCCGCAGGTCAAGCCCGGTACAAACCACTGATTAAGGCACAAAATGCATCTCAAAATATAGGATTGCACCAACTGTTTATCACCTTGGAGCATCGAAATCTGGGGCTGTTAATCAGAGTTCACATTTGCAATGTGCACACCCCAATCATAAAAAATAATAATAATAATAATAATAATAGAGCTTTGCGACACAAGTAATAATGAGCTGTTTGGATGTCTCCAATTCCCCTCCAGAACTGTCTTATTCGAGTCATTGCTGTACGGTTAATGCTATACATAGTATAAACTGCAATTTCGTTTTTTATCCACTGAGGGAGGATATAAGGCTGTTGTGCATTTGGTGACTCACTGAAACAGCACTTTGTTTTGCCCTTCACAACACACAGCACAATTGGAGTTGAAAGCAGCTGCAACAGGAAGACGTGTATATATATATATATATATATATATTATATAGTGATAAGTAATGTCTCCCACTGTGGATCGGTCTGAAATTATAAATAGGTGTCTTTCCTGTACGAGAGATGAAGGTGGAGAGAAATAATGATATTGTAGGAAAAGTCAACATGAACTTGATTCCGGAAAGCGATGGTTGTTTCATCTGAATTAATATTATTATTATTATTATTATTATTATTATTATTATTATACGCTGCAAATTTTTTTTTGTGTGTGTGTGTGTGGGAGGGAGGAGGGGAGAAAATGATCCCAAAAACTCTGGTGGTTTTGATAACACAATAGCTGTCAGGGATCGGATCCTGTTCTTCCATTTGTTTTCCCACGACTGTGTGGATTGAGCTGCAAACTCTTCGCCTCTTGTTTTTGGCAGAAATCTCACCGCTTGATGTTGCACTGGGGTCCAGAAATCGGTCAGGAGGCACTTGATCAAGTGATCATAAAGTAGAACAGTTATAACGGATAATTCTGGGTCCCGTTCATCTCGGTGGGTAAACAGTCACCAACACAGCAGCAGCAACAACAACAACAACAAACCCGAGAGAGGTAGGTGGCTGACAGCATCTAAGCAAAAAAAAACACCACCACCACCCCCAACCCCAAAAAAAAACAACCACAGCAAAGAAAGAAAGAGAGGGAGAGACAGACAGAGAGAGAGAGAGAGAGAGAGAGAAAAAAACGCCATGGGTTGCAGACACAAATTGCATCTTCGTTTTATTTCTCAAGGATAAATCGTAAGTATCTATTCCTTCCTGTTTTTTTGCTCGTTTTCCTTGTTGTGCGTTGCGCTTCCCGTTTCTGCAATGGGTTGCAATGTGCCGAGTGAGGTTTAAATGTCTTATTGATGTGACTGTGACTGTGTGTGTGTGTGTGTGTGTGTGCGTTTAGAAAAAAGAAAGTGCATGTGTGGTTGGTTGTAAAGATTCGGGTTTGGCAATGAAAACAAAGGGAGTCTGCAGCAAGAAATAGATGTAGGAGATCTCGAATTCAGAAATCCTTGGTGTGCATTAAAACAGGCCACCCAATGTCATCAATTTTCATTTATTTTACATAAAGCACCAGCATTAACTCCCCTCCCCTCCCTCCCCACCTCCCCACCTCCCTCCCTCCGCTGTGTTTTGGGGTGAAATCCACACGAATGGCTTAATCTTTGAAATAAATGCCTGCTCGCTGATTTCATGCAATCGCACAATTGCAGTTGTTGCTGGTGGTTTTTTTTTCTCTTCTTCTTCTTCTTCTTCTTTGACATAGCCAGTCTTCGGCGTTTCGGGAACAGGGGGGAAAAAAAACCTTGTTGCCAAAGCAGGTTCCGATCCCCCCCCTCCCATCACCCCCACCCTCCCCAACGTTGCGCGCTTCTCAAGGCTAATGAGAGTTTTTTTTTGGGGGGTGGGGGGTCAGGTTTTGACTGTGTTGTGGGTCAGGACCTGCAGGTGTCGTGTGGGTGGGTGGGTGGGTGGGTGGTGGGAGAGGGAGAAGGTTAGAAGAAGAACAAAATGCAAAACCCGAGCTGCGATATCCTGCAATAAGTAACTGTGATAAATGGACACTCACTACACTCCTGGACAGAAACTGACCTCCATCCCCCCACCCCACCCCACCCCTCCACCCCCCACCCCTCCCTCAATGGAGGGATGCTGGGGTTTGCTCCCCGAAACGAAAAGCAACGGTGCTGCTTTTACATATAGATATGGATGTTGTCAGAGACCTGACACCTGGACACAGGTGTTGCGTTCAGTTCAGTTCACCTGTCCCAGCATTTCTGCTCAGGGTTCATGGTGGAGCTCACTCAGCTCAGGGCGATGGTCAACCTGGAGCTGTTTAGGCTATTTATTTCATGTTCATGTGCTCTTGTTATTTACTGTGGGCGATGGACATTTTTTTTTCCGTGCAGTGCAATGCTTTTTTTTTTTGGAGGATGGTGGAGGGGGTGGTGGTGGTGGGGGGGGAGGGGGTGTGGGTGGGATCTAAAGGTTCATTGCAAGTTATGGTTCTCTTTTTAGATATACACTTGCAGAGCTGGATACGAATGGAGCGCCCCAGGAATTGCTGAGCTGCCTTTCATTTGCATTTGGAGGTGAAGTGGGGTGGGGGTGGGGGGGGGGGGGTAGATTAAGGGTATAGGTAAGGAAAGGAAAAGGTGGGTGGGAGAGGGGAAGGGGGGGGTGGAGGGGAGGGAGGGAGGGAGCAGAAGAAGTGGTTGTGTTTGGAGACCCCCTAAAAGTGGGATTATATATACATAGAGGGAGAGAGAGAGAGAGTCTGGAGTCTCTAAATAAAAGAGGTCTGGAAGCAAGAAAGGGTAAGGAGAGGAAAGTGGGGAGAAAGTGTGGTGGTGGTAGTGGTGGTGGTGGTGAGGGGGGGGGGGGTTGTGTTTGGAGACCCCCCCTAAAGTGGGACTATATATACACACACACACACACATATATACATATATAATTTATACATCTAAATAAATATATATATAAATATATATATAAAAGCGAGCCAGAAAGGAAAAAAAAAAAGGGGGGGGGGGGGGCAATAATAAAAGGGTGGCTCCATCAGTGCGTAAAGATGGAGGCTGCCATGGTGAGCGTGGACAGCGGTGGGTGCAGCAGCCACATGCCTTACGGTTACGCCCAGAGGAGGGAGCGCATCGCCAACTCCCGGGCAGTGGCCGCCGCCGCTTCAGCCGCCGCCGCCGCCGCCGCCAACAGCAACAGCAACAGCAGCGAAGCCGGTGGTGGTGGTGGTGGTGGTGGCGGAGGGGGAGGAGGAGGAGGAGGAGGAGGAGGGGAGAGGAGGAGCGATCGCCATGGCAACGCCGGGACCCGCTCCGACGCCAATCAGCACAGGCAGCACCACCACCACCATCATCACCATCAGCACCACCATCATCATCAGCAGCAACAGCAGCAGCAACAGGCGGGCGGTGGCGGTGGCGGCGGCGGCGGTGGTGGTGGAGGAGGAGGTGGGTCGCGGCTCCTGCTGCGCTCTCACCGGGACAGAGGAGGAGGAGGAGGTGGGGGTGGGGGTGGGGGTGGGGGGGTGGAAGGGGGAAGGAGAAGTGGAAGAGGAGGAGGAGGAGGAGGAGGGGGAGGGAGGGGATGGGATGGACGAGGGTGGAGAAGAAGGAGAAGGAGAAGAGGAGGAGGAGGAGGAGGAGGAGGACTCCTACTATTACTACCATCACCATCACCGGCGGCAGCAGCAGCAGCACCGACAGCACCGCCGCCGCCGCCGCCCACACGACATGGAGGTGGACGCGGGGGCCGGAGAGGACATGGCTGGTCCGGGCCAACAACAACAACAACAACAACAACAACCGCCGCCACCACCGCAACAGCAACAACAACAGCAACAGCAACAACAAGTGCTTCCTGGGGACCCCTACGGTTACGGCTGGAGCCCGGGCGGCAGCTCGGAGCGGAGCGGCGGGGGCTCGGGGTCGGGGTCGGGGTCGGGGTCGGTGTGCAGCGCGTTCGAGTGCCGCGAGCGGGTGGTCATCAACGTGTCGGGCCTGAGGTTCGAGACCCAGATGCAGACCCTCAGCCGCTTCCCGGACACGCTGCTCGGGGACCCGGACAAGCGGCTGCGCTACTTCGACCCCCTGCGGAACGAGTACTTCTTCGACCGGAACCGTCCGAGCTTCGACGCCATCCTGTACTACTACCAGTCGCGGGGTCGGCTGAAGCGGCCGGTCAACGTGCCGCTGGACATCTTCTCGGAGGAGGTCAAGTTCTACGAGCTGGGGGGCGAGGCCGTGCTCAAGTTCCGCGAGGAGGAGGGCTTCGCGCGGGACGCGGGGGGCGGTGGGGAGAGGGCGCTGCCCGCCGGGGAGTTCCAGCGCCAGGTCTGGCTGCTGTTCGAGTACCCCGAGAGCTCGAGCCCGGCCCGGGGCATCGCCATCGTCTCGGTGCTGGTCATCCTCATCTCCATCGTCATCTTCTGCCTGGAGACCCTGCCCGAGTTCCGGGACGAGCGGGACCCCTTCTTGGCGGGTCCGGCCGCCGGTCCCTCCCGCAACCGGTCCCAGACGCCCTCCTCCTCCTCCTCCTCCTCCTCGTCCTCCTCCTCCTCCTCCACCTCCTCCTCCTCTTCCTCCTCCTCCCCGCCAGCGGCGGCGGCGGCGGCGGCGGGGGGGGCGGTCTCCCCGTTCGGCGACCCCTTCTTCATCGTGGAGACCGTCTGCATCGTGTGGTTCTCCTTCGAGCTGCTGGTGCGCTTCTTCGCCTGCCCCAGCAAGGCCCGCTTCTTCAAGGACATCATGAACACCATCGACGTGGTCTCCATCTTGCCTTACTTCATCACCCTGGGCACCGACCTGGCCGAGTCCCAGGGCGGCGGTCAGCAGCAACAGCAGCAGCAACAACAACAACAACAGGCCATGTCCTTCGCCATCCTCCGCATCATCCGCCTGGTCCGGGTCTTCCGCATCTTCAAGCTGTCCCGGCACTCGAAGGGTCTGCAGATCCTGGGCCACACGCTGCGGGCCAGCATGCGGGAGCTGGGGCTGCTCATCTTCTTCCTCTTCATCGGGGTCATCCTCTTCTCCAGCGCCGTCTACTTCGCCGAGGCCGACGACCCGAAGACCCAGTTCAAGAGCATCCCCGACGCCTTCTGGTGGGCGGTGGTCACCATGACCACCGTGGGCTACGGGGACATGAAGCCCATCACGGTGGGCGGCAAGATCGTGGGCTCCCTGTGCGCCATCGCGGGGGTCCTGACCATCGCGCTGCCGGTGCCGGTCATCGTGTCCAACTTCAACTACTTCTACCACCGGGAGACCGAGTCCAGCGAGGAGCAGTCTCAGGCCGCCCAGCCCACCCCCACCTGCCCGTACCTCCCGACAAACTTTCTCAGGAGGTTCCGCGGTCCGCGGCCCTCGTCCTCGTCGTCCTCGTCCTCCTCCTCCTCCTCCTCCTCGTCCTCGTCGTCGTCCCTGGGCAACAAGTCCGAGTACTTGGAGATGGAGGAGGGCCTGAAGGAATCTCTGTGCGAGAAGCAGAGAGTCAAAGGCAACGGCAGAGAAGCCGTCAAACGCAACTCGTTGAATCTCAAAGCAGTGGAGACTGACGTGTGATCTTTTTTTTTTACGCACCACCACCACCCCCTCACCCCCTCACCCCATCACCCACCACCCCACCCACCCCCTCACCCCCATCACCCACCCCCTCACCCCACCACCCCACCCACCCCCTCACCCCATCACCCACCCCCTCACCCCATCACCCCACCCATCCCCTCACCCCATCACCCACCACCCCACCCACCCCCTCACCCCATCACCCACCCCACCACCCCATCACCCACCACATCACCCACCTACCCCACCACCCCATCACCCACCCACCCCACCCACCCCCTCACCCCACCACCCCCTCACCCCATCACCCACTACCCCACCCCTCACCCACCACCCCACACACCTCTCACCCACCCCACACACACCCCATCACCCACCACCGCCCACACCCTTCACCCACCTATCCATCACCCACCCCACCCACACCCCTCACCCCCCATCCCCCCCCCCCACCCACCACCACCCCGGGAAAAAAAAGAGAAACTTTTATTTCACTTTCTCAGCACAGAATTGATGGATACGACGTGAGTCCCACTTTTTTTATCCCCCAAAAAACGCTGCACAGAAACCAAACAAAGACCTGTGAAAAAGAGAGTGGTGGTTTTTTTTTTTGGGGGTGTGGGGTCCCCCCCCCCAAAAAAAAAAGCACGGTAGGGAACTTTAACTTTTTTTTGTCTGTCTCTCTCTCTCTCTCTCTCTCGCGAAAACAAACCGAAACATCAGTCGAACGAACGGTGAAGAGAGAGAGAGAGAGAGAGAAAGAGAAAAAAAAATCCGTGCGATTGCAACTTCTTTAAATCGAAGTGGAAAGTCTTGCACTGTTTTAAGAAGAAGGAAAAAACTTGAGCCACGAGTTTCTTCCAGACGAAAACATCTTACAGTTCCGGTGTCACTTGAATTTAAATCCATCATCTGCCAGAATCCTTAAGCTTTAGACACAGTACAAACTTCTCACTGGTGTGTGTGGTGTGTGTGTGTGTGGAGGGAGGGGAGGGGGTGGGGGGGGTGTCATTCATCTGACATTGTGCTTTCCAACTATAACATCGAAAAGGAAATAGCTCCAGCAATGCCCCCCCTTTTTTTTTAAATGGAATTGTGCATCCGAGTGACTTTCCAGGGAATGACTTGAAACTTTAATTGTTATTTAATCAGGATGGTCCACGTTTTTTTTTTCTTCTTCTTCTCCTCCTTCTTCTTCCTCCTCCTCCTGAGGTGCATCCCTGCTCCCGTTGTTTTCAATCAGGATATATTTTTTTTATTTTTATTTCAAGCATAATGCAATGCCACGTCTGACTAGCCATAGTTGAAATCTGGCAGGTTATGGGGGAGTGGGGATGGGGGGGTGTTGGCATATTTTGAACAAGCCTCGGGTCAGTATTTATTAGGTACTTCCAAACGACATGTCTGGTAAAATTAACTGGTTGCTGCTCTGGGACATCAATAATGAGCAGTCTCTGCCAATAAGTATTGGCAACGTGGGGAATCCATCATGTGTAGTTGTTGGATGTTTTAAGGAAAGATATGAGCTTGCGGATGAATGGCATTCGGGGCTTATAACTGTCAACGAGGGCGAGCACCGACTCGAAAGCAATCGATGAGTTCATCCCACCTTCGCCTCCGACCCACTTGAACGAAAGTTGTATCGAATCACTCACGGGTGAGAAATCTAAAGCAAAGTTCCAGTGTAAAGCTCTGGGGTCGTGGAAATACTTACTTTCACGTCAGTGTCCAATTCAGTTCACGTAAAGTGGCAATGTTTTATTGTGAAACAAAACAGACCCTTTATGGATCACTGTTTAAAACAAAGTCGTCGTCCCCCCCCCACGAACAAAACTGGTTTGTAACTGTGGCTTCTGGCAGAATAACCCAATATATTTGCTTTTGCACTCTTAGCCCATCAAAAACTATGAACTTTCGGAAACTTTTCTGCGTTTAGTCCACTTTAAACTACTGTGAAAGATTGTCATTGACAACTTTGCTCGACAATCATTGGAGACAACTTGAGAGACTGCATTTTTATAAAACCAACCAACACTTAAAAAGTTATGCGAAATTGCTGAATAATGAAAGACAGAAATACAACGAGGTAGTAGTAGTAGAAGTAGACTTGGAACTTGCACACTGCGATTTATGAAAACAAAATATTCTGCGGTGCCAAAAATCAACCTAAAATGGAACTGCAGACCTCCTTGAGTTGAGACAAGAAAGAAGTCAAGAAAAAAAACCAACTAATTATTGTTGCAGTTTGGTGTTTGAACGAACTGAATGGATTGCATTGCACTTTGAGAACCATAGACCCTAGTCGTTGAAATGGAACATTGTGTACACGAATATATTTAAAGATGCCTGGTAAGTGTTTTTCTCTAGGAATGCAAGCTATTTAAAGTGAACCCATGAGTTGCAAACCCCTCGTCCTGAAAGGCGATATTGTGGAAAGTGGACGGTGAATAAACAATCCTCCTCAAAATGTCCCACATGATGGAGCAGTGCACCAGAAATGAACTCGAAAAGGTATGAAAGAGTGTTATTGTTCACAGTTAGGGCAATTTCGGAGTCAGCGGAATTCCGGTAAATTGTGGCTTTATGTTACAGTAACTCGTCATAGTCCACCGCTGGTTGATAGACACAGATTTAGAACTGCCAGCTGTTGCCTAAATCTTTGCCATCCAAATTGGCCACATACCCTCCCCGAATGACGTGTGCACTGCAGATGTTATGCTCCTGAGAGCTTTGCCTTGTGTATCCACCTCAGCCCCAGAACTAGGTTATCCCCCAACGCCATCCTTCAGATTAATTCGCTTCATAGTTAAAAGTCCGCTTCCATTCCCATTTCAAATTGACCTAATTGAAAACTCGTATATTTGGTCAAAACGCGGCAAATTCATTCGGCTGATGCATCTTTTGAAAAGTTGGGCTTCAAGTTGAGTTAATAAACTACGTGTGCATAGCCCATGGCAATGTTCATGAATGGATTTATGTACCTAAGATTGTGGTGCTTACCTATGTTTTAAATCTGCAACAATAACTTACAATTCCATCAGATCTCCAAAAGGGAGGCTTTACTTTATCACAATAGAATATGCAGTCACTTTACTCGACTGTAAATCCTGTGACGTGCCCTGACGCAGATTTGAAGATATGATAAAACACTATAGCAAGATTATTATAGATGTCAAGATTATCACGAATACAATTCTCAATTGATTTCTGGCTGCGCAAATAACTGATGGATCAGGAGGTATTCTCAGCAGAGTAGGGAAATTATTTTAATATTTTGACATTTAACATCGCTCCTATCTGGAACACTGCTGAAATGCATTTCCTTTGGTCACGTGTGTTACAGCAGTTTTTAAAAATATAAACAGTATTTGTCAGGAAGAGTTAAGTACAATGAAGCTATAGAAACACGTAGTTAGAAAACACGCTAACTGAAGTTATCACCTATTCCAATTTTGCTTAAATTTAATTAAAAGACTGGTAAATATGCAAAAATATGGCCTATGTTACACCTGCATTAAAGTTTGGGGAAATCATACAAACATTACATATTTATTTGTCTCCAAAAAATAAAACAATAATAAATTGCTCATTTTCAATCCACGACTGTTTGTGGGACACTGCTGTGCGCAATTGGTTGCCGCGTTTCGCCCACAAATATATAGTCAATTGACTTTACAGCATATTCTGTGAAGCGCTTTGAGACGTCTAGAAGACGTAAAAAGCACAATATCAAATGCAAGGATTATTATTATTAAATGTCAGAAAGTAGTTGGCCAAACATTTTTTTAAATATGTAGAGCTCAGTGACAAAGAAGCCAAAGAAATGTTATTTGTTGGTAATACTCCAACACAATATTTTTTTTGTACTGTACTTTGAAACCATCAAAGTGAATAGCCATGTAACAATTATTTTCTTTAATCTGTGTCTTTTTAATTTTTTTGTTCACAGCAAACAAGATTAAAAAAATTACATGTACATATGTAATTCACTGCTGGAATTGAAGGTTTATAGTGATTCCTTGGACTTTACATGACAGACTTTTGCCTCATCAGATGGAAAAACAATTTACAAAGAAGATTTTTTTATTGGATTTTAATCAACGTCTTAATTAATAAGAAAACACAAGGGTGGAAGTCAAAAAATGTGAGACAAAACACAGTGGAAATTCTACTGCATACTGATGCGAATGGATTCTATAGGGAACTAAGGTAAGGAGAATGCTTTATACTTCTGATTGTGCTTTAATGGTGTTATTTTTAGCAACTGTATATCTGAACTTGGAATCATCAACTCCATGGTGTTTAGCTGCAAGTAGAAGATTTTAGGGGAGAAATTCACTTGGGTCTAGATTTACTCTTATTTTCTTAGCATGTCAGAATGTGCAGACTATGGCAAATTATTAGATAGTCTCAGTTTTGAAGCCTTACAGCTTTCTGCAAATTCTTTTAAGAACTACAGTAAACTAACTTCAAAGTTAAGACTGAATTCAATAATTTGATAAAGTCTACACACTGCAAAAAAGGCTAAGACCCAGTTGGAGTTTTTTCCCCTATATACAATATGTCCATCTGAAGATGGCTGCAATGTTTGTTTTAGGATTGCATTACCTCTTCACTGTGATACGTTTCAAGTTGTGCAATATGTGGATTGACAGTACACGTACAATCAATACCTAGACATTATTATTTTAAATGTGCTTTATAAGATAGTTTTGTTATATATATTATGTTAAGTTGAATTTAGCACTTATAAAGAAAATGTTTTAATATGATTTATTATTGATTATTATGTTTGTACAAGATAATCAATAATTTTGCTGAGTTAAATTAAATAAACATGATTGTTAAAACTTCAGATTGCCCTAATCTGAAGAGCTCAACAAGTTTTGGTAAATTTTATATCAGTTGAAACGGATTTTCATAAATGCAGGAAAATAAACAAGAAAATCTGCTGTAGTTTAATAGTATATGCTTTTGGTTGTAATGTGATCATGGCGATCAGACTACTTACATCACTGTATTAAAAGAGGTACTGTGTTTACATGGCAAAAATGTCAATGTGAAAAAATGCTGTGGAAAATTTTTCATTATGGACAAAAGTTCCCTGCTGATGAATCGAAATTATCACTTCCTGTACGATGTAGTACTTTATAAAGCAAAACTGATTTTTCTTTGTACCCTTCAAGTTGAAGATTTTAGTACAGGAAAATTCACCACTGCTACTTTGAACCTCCAAAACAGCCACAGACTCTCAGAAGTCTGGTATAACACATTTTGAACCTGAGTAAAGCATCCTTTAATATGCAACAAGTTGTGTGTCTTAACTCCGGTGCCAGAAGAACCACCCTATTTAGTGTTGGATGATGGATGAACAGTTTTAGGCTGTGTGCCAATGTACACTAGGACTACGCTGAGACTGCCCAGTTCATTTCATGTAGAAATCTAACTAAGCCTTTGACCTCAGAGACTGAGCCAGATTTGAAACTAAGTCCCAAATGTTACAGGATAACTTTATTTTGGAGCACAACATGTTTTGGTGGATGTTTCCAAGCCTATGTCTTTACCTTTCCCTCTATACTTGGATTTTCTTATTTTAATCAACATAAATCCTAGCACAGGAAAGGTTTTTACTATCTATGCAGCTAATATATTAGCACAGATTGAACTTGGACTGAAGAGGATAAATACAGTTTTCGCAGGCAAGTCAACAGCAATCAAATTTGACCTCTTCTTCTGGTTTCTCATAACTACTGATATTCCACTTTCATATTCTTCAGCAATTGATCTTGCCTTAAGTGACCTTTCTCTGCTTTCGATATGCAAGTTTCTTTTTGACAGTGCAGGAACTTAGATGGAGGGATATATTTTTCTGCTTGGTGGAATGTTGATGTTTAATTGCACTGCTGATATTGAAGCAGATACAGTTTAAAACATCTGTAAGCATTTTAACTTGCAGTCTAAGCAAACATGAATTGGGTTTCTTCATTTCCATATTTTGACTAAATTAATCAAGGAGCTAAGAACTACATTTTGAAAAAAAATGTAGTATTGCCAAAAATTGTCCCACATCAGGATTCGAGCTCACAGTCTAAGATGACACTCTATTGCATTGCTGGGGCAGTGCTGCATTGTCGGAGATGCCGTCCTTTGGCTGAGATGTGGAACTAAGGTGCCATCCATCTGAAAGGCTTCTATGGCACTGTTCGAAAAGAGAAGAAAGTTTCTCCTGTCCTGGCCAACAATCTTCCAGATAAAATTGTTCATTCACATCCCGGCTGTTTTGGGGACATTGTAGTGCACTGCCAAATTAGTCTCCAAAAACAACAGTCACTACACTTTACATTAAGTTACGTCAAGCGCTTTGAAACATTTCAATGATGGGAAAACAAATGCAAGAATTAATAGTTTTAGAATGGCATGAATAGGATTCATTGCAGCAACAAAATGGAATTAAAGGTTTTAAAGATAACACTGAAGGTATATCATGTCTAATCTAACTTGGTACCCGAATTTATGAAGTTTAAATTGTGTATTTTGAGTTAGTTCTATTTTTCCATTATATTGAAACCAAACTTTCTCCCCTCTGCCTCTTTCCCGCATTTTTTGTAAATTGCTCTAATGTTCCATTTCTTAGGTTTAAAAGACAGGAAGCAAAATGTATCCCGGGCCCTATATTTTTGTAAACATCTAGTGCACGATGCATTAAAACAGCCTCAGATAACTCACCTTCTAAACTCCTAACTCTTCCCATGTATCTGACCATCACTATGTAATTCCCCCGATTGCTATTGCTGAAATCAGGAGCTCATCGCTTGTGTGTATGAATCTGGATCCCACCTCTTAATAACAGCAACGACTTGCATTTATACAGTGACCCTCACACAGGATAGTGTCCCAGAGTGCTTGACAGTGGCGGAGCACATCATACATTTTGCAGTTGCATATTATCTGGAATTTGTATTTGAACATTTTTATGTTGTCAATGGTTGCAAGCCTGGGAAATTGCAATAATAATAATAATCCTTACATTTGTTTTAACAAAAAACTTGGTAAGGTTTTTCACAAAAATCTTCCAGTTTACTCTGTGTTTTCACACTCATTGAAAAGTGGCAGAATTGAAGTATTTTTAAAGTTTAATGTTTCATAACACACTAAGTAGGCAAAGCAGTTAGTTACTGCATCCTGTCCATCTATGCCTTTTTCTCCTATTTGTCGCCTTTCTGTCTAATCGCTTCCCTATGTCTTTCTACCATTTTCTGTATCGTTTTATCTTCTCAACTCTATCTTTGCGTGTGTCTATCTCTCTCTTTGTGTGTTTTCCCCCTCTGGTTATAGTCAATTAGCATTAACAAAGAGACAGTTTTAAACAAAACCCGGACTGCATAAAAAAATCATTACTCAGATGTTAAAAACTTGGCAGCCAGGCTCAAATTTCCTCCCTATGCACAGAGCAAAATTCCAGTTGAAGCACAATTACAGAACACATGTCTATTTAGTACTTAACTCACCTCTAAGGACCCTATTTTTCCAAATGCTGAATGTGGTACAAACGTTTAATAAAAGATTAAACTCTTCAAGGTTCAAAACTAGCCAGATTAGGAATGAATTTTATGTTGATCGTGTCCCAATTCCTCTGCTTCTGTGAAATGATTTTCCTTATAACAATCTTTTTTCTTACTTGTTGTATTGCAAAGGTTAGTCAACTCATACATATACACAGACCCCCAAATCATAAATGATCTCCTTTATAGGAAGCTTAATTGAAGTAGAAAGCTGGTCATTGTTTGTGTATAGGGACAATATCCAGCTCTTTTTAATATAAAAGCATAATAATAATCCTTGATTAGGATGTCCCAAAGCACTTTGCAGGCTACATTGTAAAGTGACTGTTTTTTGTTGGCGAATGTGGTGGGTAATTTGCACACAGGAACATCCTGCAAGCAGCCATGTTCGGCTGGCCAATTTGATTTTAGGGGGATTCCTGATCGGGAGAGAGAACCTTCTCTTTCATGAATTGTGCTGCGGGAGATCTTTAACATCCACCTGAACAGGGCACAGGCCAAGACGCAGAGTTCAGTTTAACGTCTCAGCTGAAGAAAGGCACCTCTGAATGTACAGCACACTCACAGCACTGTATTGGAGTGTCAGCATAGAGCAAATGTGTTCCTAGTCCCGATGCGAGGCTTGAACCCACAAACTTCTGTCTCAAGTTCAAGTGTTACCAACTGAGCCAGTCTGGAAATATAGAAATGATGGTATAAATGATCAGATCAATGTTTGATCTAATTTGGGCAAGAATGTTTTGGATTTTTAAGTGCTTTTTCATTTTGCAAAATATTAGCCATATGGAGATTAGATTACTTGGAGTGAATTTGAGCATTGAGCAGGAGTGAACTCTGTTCAGAGCATCTCAAAGAAAGTGAAATACGACTGCCATTTTTTCTATTTCACAATCTTCTTGGTTTTACAGAGAGATTATAACTGTATAATTGCAAAGAGAGACCTTTATATGTGTTGAGAACATTCAAATTCTAATTACAGTATATTTGATTTAACATCAGTTCTGCTAGTGGATTTGTTTTAAAGCAACGATGAAAGATTGTGTGTGATGGAAAATAAAACGTGTTTGTATTTCTCTAATAGATATTTTAATATGATTTTGTTGAGGCAGATCAATTATTTATAGTTCTAGATGGAAACATAATATCTATGGTGTTTGGAAATCTGTATACTATAAATACACTTTTATTGAGCTCTTCTTGGATGAATGTTAAATTGAATCAAAAGATCAAAACAATAAGTTATTGGGTGATACGTTAGAAGGCAGTACAAGGTTAAAATCAAAGCAACTTTAGATTCAGAAGACTTTATTTTAAAAAAAAGTCAGTTCTATCACATTAATGCTTTGAGACGCTTATTGAAACCAAAGCACATCTCTTTTGATCAAGGGAATGCATGCACTTTCTGTAGAAATTAGATAAGTTGCCTGGTTTTTGATATGTTCATAGCAGAAAAGATCTGCCATATCATTGCATACAAAATACCATTTAATCTCATCAGACTAAAATAGGAAGCTAAAGTAAACAAAGCCTGCCATTTCTTCTAACTAGATGAAAGAAGATTAAGTTATTTGAGTTGCTGAGCTTTAAAACAACCTGTAACCATTTCATCTCTTCAAATGTTCTTTTCAGATCTTAAATTTATACATA